ATAGGTGCTTTCCCAAATAATATATCTCTCTCTGCCAAAATACAAAGCAAATTCCAGCTGTTAATAATGAGCATGACTAATTCTTAACCTGAACAACAGATGACATCAGATAAAACTGGCATAAATTATCCTGACATGAACTGTGAGAGAATCTGCCCATTTAATGAATTGAATTTACATGGCTCTTTTCCCTGCTGTTTCCTTTGTAAATAATAGCTTATTTAAATAATTTTCATCCCAAAATTATTTATTTAATTAAAATTATTCTGGGAGTTATGTGGATTTCACGGGTAAGCCATTCTTCCAAGTCATAACTTGGCTGTTTGTTTACATATAATATTGCTCAAGTAGTTGGCTCAGAACCTTGTTCAGAGCTCATATCACAGATAGAGACCCCTTCAGTGGGAACTCATGGGATCTAGAACCATGCTTTTAAGGCAGTAGTGTTGGATAAATAGCCTAGGTGAAACTGTATAATCTCTGTCATTTTTAATGTATGAATGGCAGACTAAAGTGCTTCATTTTATATATTACGCTGAACCATCATTGACACTATCAAAAAAATCAATGATAGGCCCACCACCTTCACAGCAGACCCATCTGAGGCCCAGCAAACCTTTGAAATTCATTATGGAGGAGTCACAATAGGGACTCCTAAAATTTTCTTTGCATAACATTTTCTTGTTGAATCTGAGGCATCACTGTGAAGCCATATCATTGATTCAATTGACTACCACTTGTAGCAGTTCTTGCTTAGCTTTTGAAAATTATTTTATATGTCAGGTTCTTCTTTATATCTTAGTTGAACACCTAATTCTGATAACTGATTTACTCTAGCCCTCCATTTTCACACTTTGCCTAGAAAAATAAAAACATTTTGAAAGAATGTCTTCCTGTTCCTGTCACCATGGAAATAAAATTAAAAATAATTTAATGTTTCTTGTTACACCTGTGCTTGTATGCACATGATCACACATTAGTCTCCTTCATGACAAAGAAAAGAGCCACAGGGAAGAATAGCCAGACCTTTTCTGTAATAAATCTATGGGATGTGCTGCACAATCAACCATTTATAAAGGTCAAAAACATTCTCCCCTCCTCTGGTGTCTGAACTGCTCAAATCAGTCATTTCAGAGAATAAAGACTAGAAAATAGGATAGATGCAGATTTGAGAAACTCTAAAAATGTCAATGCCACTTGCATTATTAGCCATTTTTATATTACTAACATTTGAGAATTATGTTGTCTAGCATTGGAGGATTTTTTTTGACAATCTGTTCAAAGACAGATAAGATAGAAAAATAATCTCAGGAAGAGACATGTTACATGTGGGTGTTTGTATGCATGCACACACATATGTCTATGCTTGGACAAGCACTGGACATACCATATCCATCCTGGGTGACTAGATAGATCGCCAACTAGTAATTTTTACAACTAATTTTCAGTTTGCTTGTTCTTTTGAAAATATGTGATGGTGTCCACGGGGTATATGTCTATAATAATTGCCTGATTTTAACAACTCATTCAAGTTCACTTTGACAAATCTATTTATTGGCAGATAGCTGTTTGAACTTGAAGCATATTTTATTTGAGGATATTGTTATAATTGTTTCATAGATGGTGGTATGGGTGGGGTGTTTTAAATCTGAAGTAATTTAATGATAAATGTGAATATGTTGAAAATAAACTTTAGAAATGGAATCTTCCAGGTCAATAAATTCTGGATAAGGGTCTGCTGGTCATAAAGAAGCAGAATTTTTTGTGTTTGTTTCATTGAGAAGTCCCATTTTAGGGGACCTCTCAAGGAGCAGCTTCTAAGATGGTCAGCAAAGCACTCAGATGTACTAAGTGAAGTGTGGACATTGGCATTATAGTTTGCATGTGCCCTTTGCCTGCTTTCTCTTGACTTCCCATAACATAGCTCACATCCAGAAGTGGATTCACCAAGAATAAGTGACTCTCAAGTTACAGGGTTCTTCACTTGGAAGAGCCCCATATAAGAGATTTGTCCTTTCAAAGCTTTGCATTTCAAAGCTTATATTCTTTTTGTTAAGGAGGGCCCACTGAATTGAGTAACCTTTCAGCTCCACAAAATCTGAATCCACTCCTATGCATGTGAGTAAGCATGATAGAGAATATATAATAAATTTATGGTCTTATTAAGTATCATAATATATCACCATTGTGAAAGATTTCATGAACAAAAACAGGTCCAGAGACAGTGAAGCATCATCAGATGATCAAACCTCAGAGGGAAGGCAGCTGAGAGTGGAGGCAAGGGGGAGAGATCAACCAAAGAAATTGTATGCATACAATAAGCCTAAACAATGGACACAGACATGGGGGGGGAGGAATGTGAGGGCATGAGCAGGGAAAGGGGGTAATGGTGGGATAAGGGCATATATGTAATACCTTAATCAATAAATAAAATTAAAATATATTTCAATCACTAGCACTCAGCACCATTTTCTGCATTTGCTTATTGGAGTAGTTTTGGTAAAATAATATACTTTTGCTTTTCTCATCAGGGATAAAAAAAAATTCTTCAGGAAGTTTAATTCTCAATTTGATGTCTGAAGCTGATGTTATCCACATCTCTCCCAAGCTATTTTTCACAGCTTTTCCTGCTAATACATAGCAAGCAACTTGTCATCTCCTAGTGTGTTTAAATTCATAGATACTGAATAATGATTGTCTATCACAGGATGTGCTCAAATATCTTTCATTCTGTAGTCTAAATTTGCATTGAACAGCTATGAACCAGAATAATTATCTTACCTTCATTTGCTACTCAATCCACTTATTAATTAATGATTGTTTTTAAATCCTACTCTGGATCCCTCAAACCACCCAGACCACAATTCTTTAACTTTGGCATTAGAGGCTCCCAAACTGGTCTCATTGCAGGTGTGTAATATATATGGTATATATATAATTGATTTTTTACAGAGAGAAAGGAAGAAGGATAGAGAGCTAGAAACATCAATGAGAGAGAAACACCAACCAGCTGCCTCCTGCACACCCACTACCGAGGATGTGCCCGCAACCAATGTACATGCCCTTGACTGGAGTCAAACTTGGGACTCTTCAGTCCGCAGACCAATGCTCTACCCCCTGAGCCAAACTGGCTTCAACATAGGTGTGTATTCTCATAAGCAAAGTTCATGGGAATAGGGCATCCATAACTGTCTGCTCCAAAGGGTCTGTGCAACAGAAACACTAAAGAACAGTGTTTCTAGTTAAAGAAAATATCCCAATTAAATAAAATTCCTTCCCAATCATATAAAATTAATGTTATTATGAAAAAAAAAAAAACAGAACAAAATAACTGATTAAATTAAATGTAATTACCAAAAGGTTTTTGGGAAAAGTTGTTAGCCTAAAGAATGGAGGGAAGCATATTCTTAAAAATTTTCTTGCAGAAACCGGTTTGGCTCAGTGGATAGAGCATCAGCCTGCAGACTGAAGGGTCCCGGATTCGATTCTGGTCAAGGGCATGTACCTTGGTTGCGGGCACATCCCCAGGAGGGGGTGTGCAAGAGGCAGCTGATCAATGATTCTCTCTCATTGATGTTTCTAACTCTCTATCCCTCTCTCTTCATCTCTGTAAAAAAATCAATAAAATATATTTTTTTAAAAGAATTTTCTTAGAATTAAGTACCCTTTTCAACTTTAATTATGATTTTGCTATCAGCAAGAATAATACTGAGTATAATAAGGGCAAATAATCATTATGAATTATATCTGAGAAGGGATTCATGCCCCTTTTCTAACAGAAATCTTTCAAAAAGATACAAACGGAGAGTCTGGGGAAAGACCTAACCAAAACCTATTTCAGAGTTTCTTCAAAGACTCCACTAAATATAGAGTAGTTGAAATGGAGACCCATCTGGTTTTCTATTGAGAAATTCCAGCCACTCATTAGTACCCATTTTCTTACAACGATAACCTCAAGACCCAGTACATATGCCTGGCACAAGCATCTGTTTTAGTAAATGTTGAATCAGCAGGCAATAAAAACGGTCCTTTAGGTAATTGATAGTAAAATCCCTAATATATTTGAGTGACAGACTTGTTCTATTTCAAATTGATGTTAAGCATTTTCTTTTGACTTCTGCCTACTGTTTTATGTACTTACTAGAGGCCTGAAGCACGAAATTCATGCAAGAGTAGTCCTTCCTTCCCCTGGCTGCCAGCAACTGCTTCCTTCTGGCACCCTGAACCCTGGCTGGCTTCCCTTTGGCCCCAACTTTGTCCAGAAGGATGTCTGGAATAAAATCTGGAAGGACTTCCAGTCTAATTAGCATATTACCCTTTTATTATTATAGATTTGTTTTTTTACTTCATTGTTGTGGATTGGCATGGTTCTGCACAGATTCTGGAACCTAAGCCTGTGTTAGGCTAGTCAATCATGAAATTATAGTTTGTTGGCTGACAATGCAAAAGGGTGCTCAGAAGACTAAGCATATTATAACAGTTCTGATGGCATCTAACATGAATGCAATCAACCATTATTCTCAGTCACTTATTTTCTTTACAGTGTTTGCAAAACACTTTTGTATTCAAAAGTTCTCAAATTGTGCCATGAATTTTTCAGATTTCTTTTTATTTATTTATTTTTATTAAATTATTATCTGTGTACATATTTCACCATTACCCCCTCCCATACCTACCCTCCCTCCCCAGAGTTTTGTGTCCATTGGTTGTACTTATATGCATGTATACAAGTCCTTCAGTTGATCTCTTATCTCCCCCAGATCTCACTCCACTCCCCGCTGTAATTTGACAGTCTGCTTGTTGCTTTACTGTCTCTATATCTATCTTTTGGTTCACTAGTTTATAATGTTCTTTATTATCCATAAATGAGTGAGGTCATGTGGTGTTTCTCTTTCATTGGCTGGCTTATTTCACTTGCATGATGTTCTCCAATTCCATCCAGGTTGCGGCAAATGATGAGAATTTCTTCCTTTTTATGGCAGCATAGTATTCCATTGTGTAGATATACCATGGTTTTTTATCCAATCATCTGCTGACAGGCACCTAAGCTGTTTCCAAATCCTAGCTATTGTAGATTGTGCTGCTATGAACATAGGAGTGCATATATCCTTTCTGATTGGTGTTTCTAGTTTCTTGGGATATAATCCTAGGAGTGGGATTACTGGGTCAAATGGGAGTTTCACTTTCAGTATTTTGAGGAAACTCCATACTGTCCTCCACAGTGGTTGCACCAGTCTGCATTCCCACCAGCAGCACACAAGGGTTACTTTTTCTTTACAACCTCGCCAACACTTGTCGTTTGTTGATTTGTTGATGTTGGTCATTCTGACAGGTTTGAGATGGTACCGCATTGTTGTTTTGATTTGTATCTCTCGGATAATTAGTGACTTTGAGCATGTTTTCATGTGCCTCTTGGCCTTTCTTCTGTCTTCTTTTGAAAATATTCTATTTAGGTCCATTGCCCATTTTTTAATTGGTCACTTATCTTCCTTTTATTTCATTGTATAAGCTGTCTGTACATGTTGGAGATTAAACCTTTATCAGTGATCACATTTGCAAATATGTTCTCCCATACAGTGGGTTTTCTTGTTGTTTGTTGATGGTTTCTTTTGCTGTAAAAAAGCTTTTTATTTTGATGTAGTCCCATTTGTTTGTTTTCTCTTTAGCTTCCATTGCCCTAGGGGCAGTATCAGTGAAGAAGTTCTCTTGGCATACATCTGAGATTTTGCTGCCTGTGGATGCCTCTAGTATTTTTATGGTTTCCCATCTTATGTTTAAGTCCTGTATCCATTTTGAGTTTATTTTTGTGTATGGTGTAAGTTGGTAATCTAGTTTCATTCTTTTGCATGTATCTGTCCAATTTTCCCACCACCATTTACTGAAGAGGCTGTTTTGACTACATTGTATATTTGTGCCTCCTTTGTCAAATATTAATTGAGCATAGTGATTTTTGTTTATATCTGGGTTCTCAATTCTAATCTATTGATCTATATGTCTGTTCTTGTGCCAGTACCAGGCTGTTTTGAGAACAGTGGTTTTGTAATACAGCTTGAAATCTGGTATTAAGATGCCTTATACTTTACTCTTCATTCTCAGGATTGCTATGGCTATTTGGGGTCTTTCATTGGTCCAAATGAACTTTTGGAGAGTTCTTTCTAGGTCAGTGAAATATGCCATTAGTATTTTAATAGGGAGTGCATTGAACCTATAGATTGCTTTAGGAAGTATGGACATTTTGATGATGTTGATTCCACCAATCCATGAACATGGTATGTTCTTCCATCTGTTTACATCTTCCTCTATCTCTTTTTTCAGTGTCATGTAGTTTTGCGCATATAGGTCCTTTACTTCCTAAGTTAAGTTTCTCCCCAGGTATGTTAATTTTTCTTGGTGCAATGGTAAATGGAATTGCTTTTTTAGTCTTTGTTTCTGTAAGTTCACTGTTGGTGTATAGAAATGCCATAGATTTCTTGTTGTTAATTTTGTATCCTGCTACAATGCCAAAATCATTTATTAAGTCAATTAGTTTCTTAATGGAGTCTTTTGGTTTTTTATGTACAATATCATGTCATCTGCAAATCAGGATAACTTTACTTCTTCTTTTCCAATTTGGATACCTTTTATTTCCTCTTCTTGTCTAATTGCAATGCCTAGTACTTCCAGTACTATGTCAAACAGGAGTAGCGAGACTGGGCATCCCTGTCTTGTTCCTGTTCTTAGAGGGAATGGTTTTAGTTTTTGCCCATTGAGTATGATGTTTGCTGTGAGTTTATCGTATATAGGTTTTATTATGTTGAGGTATGATCCCTGTACTCCGTCCTTGTTGAGAGTTTTTATCAGGAAAGGGTGTTGGATTTTATCAAATGCTTTTTATGCATCAATTGATATGACTATATGATTTTTATCTTTCAATTTGTTTATGTGATGTATCACATTTATTGATTTGCGGATATTGTACCATCGTTGCATTCCTGGAATAAATCCTACTTGGTCATGGTGTATGATCTTTGTGATGTTCTGCTGGAGCCAATTTGCTAGAATTTTGTTGAGGATTTTGGCATCTATGTTCATGAGGGATATTGGCCTGTAATTCTCTTTCATTGTGTTGTCTTTATCTGGTTTTGGTATTAGGGTGATGCTGGCTTCATAGAAGGAATTTGGAAGTGTTCCTTCTTCTTGAATTTTTTTGAATAGTCTGAGGAGGATAGGTTTTAGTTCTTCCTTGAATGTTTGGTAAAACTCTCCTGTGAAGCCATCTGGCCCTGGGCTTTTGTTTTCTGGAAGCTTTTTGATGACTGTTTCAATTTCTTCCCAATTCACTGGTCTATTGAGATTTTTAGATTCTTCCTGATTGAGATTTGGAAGTTTGTATTTTTCTAGGAATATGTCCATTTCCTCCAGGTTGTTCAGTTTGTTGGAATGGAGTTGTTTGTAGTATTTTGTAACAACCCTTTGTATTTCGGCGGGGTCTGTTGTTATTTCACCTCTTTCATTTCTGATTTTGTTTATTTGAGTCCTCTCTCTTTGTTTCTTGGTTAGCCTGGCTAGAGGTTCATCAATCTTGTATATCCTTTCAAAGAACCAGCTCTTGGTTTTGTTGATCTTATGTATGGTTTCTTTGGTCTCTATGTTGTTAATCTCTGCTCTGATTTTTATTATTTTTCTTCCTTCTGCTTACACTGGGCTTTCCCTATTGCTCTTTTTCTAACTCTTTGAGTTGTAGAGTTAGATAATTTGTTAGCATTTTTTCTTATTTTTTTGCAATAGGCTTGTAGGGATATGAACTTCCCTCTCAAAACTGCTTTTGCTGTGTCCCATAGATTTTGGATTGTTGTGTTTTCATTGTCTCTTGTTGCCAGGATGTCTTTAATTTCTTCCTTGATTTCTCTGGTAACCCAGTCCTTGTTTAATAGCATGCTGTTTAGTCTCCATGTGTTTGATTTCTTTGAATTATTTTTATTGTAGCTAATTTCCAGTTTTATGCCACTATGATCTGAGAAAATGCTTGATATGATGTCTATCTTCTTGAATTTGAAGAGACTTTGCTTATGTCCCAACATATGGTCTATCTTTGAAAATGACACATGTGCACTTGAGTAGAATGTATATTCTGTAGCTCTGGGGTGGAATGTTCTTAAGATGTCAATTAATTCTATCTGGTCTAGTGAGTCATTTAGGATTGATATTTCTTTGCGATTTTTTGTTTAGGTGATTTGTCCAAAGGTGACAGTGGTGTATTAAAATCTCCTACTATGATTGTATTGCTATTAATCTCTCCCTTAATGTCCTCCAGCAGGTTTTTGTTTTGTTTTGTTTTGTTTTGTTTTTTATGTATTTGGGTGCTCCCGTATTGTGTGTATATATGTTTACCATTGTTATTTCTTCTTGTTGGATTGCTCCCTTTAGTATTATGTAGTCGCCTTCACTTTGAGATCTAATTTGTCAGATATAAGTATTGCTACCCCAGCTTTTTTTTTTTTCCATTTCCATTCACCTCGAAAACCTTTTTCCATCCCTTCACCCTCAGTCTGTGTGCACCTTTTTTTCTTGTAGACAACAGATATATGGGTCTTGTTTTATTATCCAATCTGTTACCCTATATCTTTTGATTGGAGCATTTAATCCATTTACATTAAAAGTTATTATCGATAGGTACTTATTTGACACCATTTTTATTCTATTCCCCTGTGTTTCTTCTTTGCTTTCTATTTCTTTATTTTTACAGCAGACCCTTTAGCATTTCTTGCATTGCTGGTTTGGTGGAGATAAATTCCCTTAGTTGGTTTTACTCTGTGAAGCTCCCGATTTCACCTTCAATTTTGATTGATAGCCTTTCTGTGTACAGTATCCTTGGATTCAGACCCTTCCTTTGCATGACTTTGTATATTTCATCCCATTCCCTTCTGGCCTGATGAGTTTCTGTGGAGAAATCAGTTGCTAGTCTGATGGGGGTTCCTTTATATGTAACTTTCTGTCTCTCTGTGGCTGCTTTTAAGATTCTTATTTTGTCGTTGGTGTTTGCCAGTTTAATTATAATGTGCCTTAGGGTCAGTCTTCTGGGGTTCAATTTGTTTGGGACTGTGTGAGCATCTTGGATTTGTGTGGGTTTTTCTCTATCTCAGGAAAGTTTTCTGTCATTATTTCTTGAAATATGTTTTCCATGTCTTCCTCAGTTTCCTTTCCTTTTGGAACCCCTATTATTCTACTATTGTTTTGTTTTGTATATACCCAAAGTTCCCTTAGGCTCTCCTCCTGCTTTTTAATTTTTTTTCCCCAGAAGTTGCTCTAATTGGGTATTTTTTTCCATCTTGTCTTCCTAGCTCACTGATGCGGTCCTCTGCTTCTTCTAGTCTACTCTTGATGCTTTCTATTGAATTCTTTACAGTAGCTATGTCATTTTTCATTTCCTCTTGATTCTTCTTCATTTCTTCTTGGTTCTTATTCATATTGTCAAATTTGTCTTCCATTCTTTTTAGCCATTATATGATCATTACTCTGAATTCTTGCTCTGATAAATTGCTTGTCTCTAACTCGTTTACTTCCTTTTCTGGTGAAGCCTGCTTTTCTTTCATATGCGGGCTATTTTTTGGTCTCCCCATGATCTCTCTTTTTAGGATGTCTGGTTATGTAATACTCTCTCTCCTGCTTTGATTTAAAGGCACAAATTACAAAACAACCAGATACAACACACAAGGCACTGAATAGAAATGTGTTTGCGATATTAATAACCTCCAATAAAGGTGACTAGAACCCAGCTAACAAAAACATACAATCAAACAAAAAGAATAGGCAAACCAATCTTACAAAAAAGCATAAAACTTCAATATAGTTAACATTCAACATACAACTACAAAGGGATAGAGAGAAAGACTGTTTTTTTTGTTTTTTGTTTTTTGTTTTACATTTTTTTATTAAATTATTATCTGTGTACATATTTTAATATTGCCCCCCCCCTCCCATATATACCCACATTGGGTTGTTTTTTGTGTGTGTGTGTGTGTATGTGTGTGTG